ATTCACTGTCCACCTGTGGCCTTACTCCCAAGTCGACCCCTGTTCTTTAGCTGTTCCTTTCGTCTGGCAACTCTGCACATATGCACACTGGGAACAGGCTCCAGCTGTTTGTCTGCCTCACTGATGTCTTGACTCCGAAGGCAGCTGATAACTGGAATACGGCCCTGGCCCCCCTCACTGCCTCTGACACAGAGCCCTCATCCGAGCCTTCCTCAGACTCCAGTACCTCCTCCCCAACCTCCTCACTGTCCGAATCTGCTGCCAGTTACACTGGCTATTGGCAGGCCACAACACTCCCATACAGGCAGTCTTATACAAATAACCCTCAACTTAATGACCATAATTGAGCCCAAAATATCTATTGCTAAGTGAGACAGTGTTGTTAAGTGAATTTTGCCCCATTTTACGACCTTTTTTGCCACAATTGTTAAGTGAATCACTGCAGTTATTAAAACTAGTGATACCTGAGTACCACACTGGAGGTGCTTGATGGACAAATACAGAAGAACAGAATGACTTTGTTGTCACTTTGAATGTACACTAACCGGCGTACATTAAAGTGAAATTTCGTTGCATGCAACTCTCAGAGGGTTACCACCTCCAATATATACTACATAATCATGACCGAACAAATAAACACAAAATTATGCATATTCCCACGTATATTATTAAATGACACAGAGAAACAGCACAGTCTAGTCCGGATAAATACATGTACACAGTGGGAGAAACAAATCTTGCAAGATTACCAGACGGATGGCCTAGGGAACAAAGCTGTTGTAGAATCTGATAGTCCTGCTAGAAATACTTCAAAACCTTCTCCCAGAGGGGGGCAACAGAAACAGATTGTGAAGTGGGTGTGTGGGGTCTGTGACAATGCTTTGAGCTTCAAGCACACAACACTAATGAGCAGCATCCTGAATCACTGGAAGCGAGCTTCCTATAATCTTCTCCATTGTCCTCACCGCTCTCTGTAGGGACTTTCGATCTCACCTCCCCGCTGTGCATCATGCTCCCTTCCCTCCCATCTTTTCACCATAATTTTGTATTTTTATTGTAATGTTGTAAACCACCCAGGGACACACCTTGTGGCAAAGATGTGGCAAATACATTTAATAAATGAATAAAAACAAACAGTTCCATCCTCTGGGATGTAACACAGGGCACCGTGCTGTAGCACTCACCTTGCTCATTGCCTGGCTTAAACTGGCGCCAAATGCGCACGGTTTTGTCATCACTACAGGAAGCCAGCCTTTCTCCACTCTGGTCAAAGGCCAAGCTCCACACTGTGGACTCATGGCCTTCCAAGGTGCTGAAGCACACCCAGTCATCTTCCTCCTCCCGATACAGCTTGACTGTGTCATCGTAACTGGCAGATGCCAGCAGCTGGGAGGAGAAAAACCCCCAAGAGGGAGACCCAAATCAGCATCGGCATAAAGAACCAAAGACTCTCAGACTTAGAATAACTTTGTTGTCACTTTGAATGTACATTAATTGGTATGAATTAAAATGAAATTTTGTTGGCACATAGCTCTCAAAGGGTCATCATACACAATATACAACATACACACACACACACACACACACACACACACGTGTCTCCCTTTATCAGCACAAAGGCAACATACAATTTATACATATACATACATACATACACACATAAAATATATATTCAAGATCAAGGGAGGTGCTAATACCACTCTATAAAGCTCTAGTAAGACCACACCTACAGTACTGCATACAGTTTTGGTCACCACACTATAAAAAAGATATTGAGACTGTAGAAAAAGTGCAGAGAAGAGCAACCAGGATGATTAGCGGAGTGGAGGCTAAAAGAGTTAAAGAACAGTTGCAGGAACTGGGCATGGCTAGTCTAGTGAAGAGAAGGACCAGGGGAGACATGATAGCAGTTTTCCAATATTTGAGGAAAGAAAGGAAGGGACAAGCTATTTTCCAAGGCACCTGAAGGCCAGACAGGGAATAATGGATGGAAACTGAACAAGGAGATTTTCAATCTGGAACCAAGGAGAAATTTCCTGACAATGAGACCAATCAACCAATGGAGC